CCAGAGGCACCCAGTGAGTATCGTATTTACTTCACTAGCGAATAACCCGCGAGACTGGATTATGAACCATCACTTTACGACAGTCACACATTTTGAATTTTGAAAAACCACTTTAACCTGACATACTCCTACTTGATTTTGTTATGTTGAATTTATACATTTCACTGAATTTTGCACCCGACATGCGAAGAGATTTGGGAACTATTCCAAAAATATAAATTTATTGTTATTATTATTATTTTCACACCAATAATAATTGAGAATTTTCAATGGAAATTGCCAACTAGTCTCCAATAATGTAGCATTCTCCTCAGTAATCGGATTTTAATTATCCTGTTATAATAATGGTTACAATTTTTATTCAGATTTCCGATATTTTAAGTTTCTTTTTAAAGCTTTTCGGAACTGTTTCAAACACACCTTCATAATCTATATGAAGTCGAGATATTTCCAAGTTTTTCACTTTTGTTCAATTTTATTCTGTGGTTTTCTGGAGCAGACATGCCTGCTATTTGTTAAATTTTCTTCTTTTTTACAATGACTGGATATGATCTTTCGGCTTGGATTAAGCAATTCGTTTGAATTTCAAATTCAATTCCCATTCACTTGCATAATTCCCAACAAAGTACCTTTCCTACCCAGTAATGTCATTATTTTTGTTTTTTACTGTTGCGTTCACTTATAAGACTGACACTCTAATTTCTATATCTACATAGGTATCATTTACTATTAAATTAGTAAGAAAGCCCTTTCATTTGTTTCGTTGGTATAACTTTAATATTTGATTACACTATACAAAAAATTGTTTCACTTGAGTTTTCATGATTTTTTTTTATATTGCAGGGATGTTGAATACAATAGTCGCTTTCTTTTTATCATAGCACCAACATTTTATCAGTTACATCATGAATCAATTTCTATCATATGCAATTTTGCTCGTATCATATTTGTTTCTATTGCATTAGATATCAAGCTAATAAAAATAAAACAATTCGTTACAACATTAGATCGCATTGGAGAAACCTATGCCGTAATAGAGCAATGTTTCCGAAGTTGCCAGACAAGAAATTTTCTGCTGTTGCCTTTATTGGACCAAGGGTAAAGCAGATTTTTGCATTCAAAACTCTGGAGATGAAAATGACAGTTGTAGAAAAATAACTTAGAATGCATTCCAAAACATTATCATTGGGTTTCTGGACAACAACATATCGGAGAATTACAAGACTGTTATAGCAGAATTTATATGTATATAAGTCTAGAGAAGGAAAACCCTGATTTTAAACCCCCGCTGCGTTGCGGCCATACCCAGTCATGGGAAAGGTTTCGGGGGCAAACTCTGAGGACAAATCCGGAGCCGGAATCCCTTAGACAGTCCGATGTTATGTTCAACTTCGTTCTGGCAAAACATTGAAACGACGCCAGTTCCAAGTTACATTGACCACTGTCTTTTCCTTGAATAACATTGGTAGCGTGGAGTGGGGAGACGCGCTGCATGGGCAACCGCCGATTTCTCATCAAACCCTACTCTGCCCAGGCATGCGTCCTGGAAAGGACATAACAGATGCCTCACCGCCATCAGCAACTGAGGCATAACTCTTTGGGCGCAGATCCAACCTTTCTCGAGACCGACGGGTGCCACGCATATATAAAAGAATTGCATGAAAGTTATAGCAGTATGGAATGCAAAATTTCAATGAAGCTGCACTATTCGCATTTTCACTTGGAATTCTTCCGACCGAATCTTGGTGCTGTATCGGAAAACAATAGTGAACGGTTTCATCAAGGCATGGAGAAGTGATATCAAGGAAAGTGGAATGAAACAATGATGTGTGACTACAAATGGAACTTGGTTCGAAAAGGCAGGAGAACCCAAAAGTAAAAACTAAAGTCCAGTGTTCACTTTTGAGCTTACTGATGTTCTTGATGCACTTAGCAATTACAGTTTTGCAGTATTATGCTTTGTTTCCTAGTTATATAATATCTTGTTATATTTATGGTACAGTAATACCTCGACTTAAGTCGTCTCGAGTTAAGTCATTTTCGGAGATATGTCGTTTTTTCTTAAACATTATATGAAAAAATAAAACTCGCCTTAGGTCGTTTTATTCGAGTTAAAAATATTAGAAACGTCAAAACATTAAAATAACAATAAACACATAAAATTATATTTAAATAAATTTAAAATTATATTATGTATACTATATATATATATATATATATATATATATATATATATATATATATATATATATATCCAGCAAGATATTCATTTCTATAGTTTAGTGCTAACAGCAAGCAGAAATATTTCTCCTCCCGATGATGGCCATTTTGGTCGAAACTAGTCGAGAAATCTAAATGGAATAATAATAAAAAAAAAAAACGAAAGAATATTAATTTACAACCCAGTGTGTCTAAAGATTTTAATTTTTTTATTGTTCAATATATATATATATATATATATATATATATATATATATATATATATATATTGCAACCTAGAAAGGGTTACTGAATGAGGAATAACCAAAACGGAGGTTGGAAATGAAATGGTAATCTTTATAACATCGACAAGATACAATACTCGCTAGCGGCGTGAATTAGGTAAACCACTGCTAGTCGGTGAAATACTTAGACAGCATATTACCCCCACTTACAATAGCGTCCAACGTATTTATGATGATTGGGACATACCCATTAGTGTTCATAGGTACGGTATATAACAATATATAACAAGAAAAAATAGCATAACAAAGTATGTTCAGCAGATGTTCTTATTTCATATTCCTGTCGATAGGCGGCACTAGTGCTTTGTTTTCCGCTCCAACACCGATTTTGAATTCAGACTTGTTTATATCTGTGCTCTGCCGTTGATGTTCTTTCAGTTACATTTCAATTGTGATCTAGAATACATTTTTGCCTATGGCGTCGAAGAAAAGTCTCAGTGCAAGTGCTAATGGTAAGCGTAAAGCTATATCGCTGGAAGGTAAGTTGGAAATTAATTATTTTATTCACAATACTGTACGGACATATCATAAATACTGTAATAGGCAATGAGGTGTTCTTATTTGCGGTTTATAGTGTGGTTATTTCGATTTAAGTTGTTTTTTTGACCTGAGTCATGATCTCAGGAACCAATTAACGACGTAGGGTGAGGTATACCTGTATTAATAAATAAATATTGTGCTTTCAAGTTTTTTTAAAAAAATAATGTGATTTTAATATTAAGCATATCATAATTAACAAAGAAATACAAAAACTGTAACGAAACAGAACTTTCATAAAATTCTGTTACCTTGTGTCATATAAGGCAGAATTATGGGCAAATTAGTTTTGTGGTCTTTACTGTTTCCTTTCAGAAATATTTAATATCAAATTGAATTATTTTTTTAGTTCTGTGACCCATAAATATGAGTCTAGATGAAACCCATTTGGCATGCTTTACAAGTTCAAAAGAGTTTAATCTGTTTCAGAAGCAGTGAAAAATATTTGCGTTGTTTATGCAAATGTTTTAAATGTCAGAAAATGCCAGTGATGGTTTACTCAGATTCAATCGGACATTAAAGATCATTCTCATTCTGGGTGGCTTGCTTCAATCGACAATTTCATAACTAACTGAAAATTCTTAACGAGAAGTAACATAATAGTTCAATACAAATCATTCACAACCATATACTACTACCATGAACTTGGTAAAGTGTCAAAACTTAGTTAATTATCTGATGGGTTCTGAACTGAATCAGATACAATATCTGTTCGTTACTAGAGACAATACACTTTACCAAACCATTTCTAGAAAGGATCATACCCAGTGATGAAATGAAAGTCCATTATAATCATATTCAGCAAAAAAAGACAATGGTTAAAGAAAAACTTGTTCCCGTACGATAACTAGGATTTACATCCCGAGAAGGTAATGCTCTGTGTTTGGTAGGATTTGATGGATACGCTTATCTTGAAGTGTTGAATTGTAATTAAACAGTCAATTCTGATTTATCCTGTCATCATCTGAAAGCAATTCACCAGTCATTTTAGAAAAAGATAAATCTGCGCTGATCAATCAAAAAAGTGTACTGCCCATGCATAACAACGCAATACCACACGTTACAAAAAGGCACACAGAAAAAGATTTTAACTCTGAATATGTAAGTTATTTACCTTATTTTTCCGACCTTGTAGTATGTAATTATCGTATTTTCATGTTTTTATTTCATTCTTTGCACAGAAAACGGCACATTACTTATGAAGAGGTTAAAAAAGAGATAAAGATGTTTTTGTTTTGTTTCGATATCTAAAAAGAATTATGCTTGAAGCATTAATAACTTGCCTGTTCAATGGAATTATGCCTATTATCGCGATTGAATGCGTAATCGACTATTAAACATAGTGTCTTTAAAAGCTACAGGGCTTTCTTTCAAACCTAATATTTTAGTTTCCTTTCTTGGCCTTAAGAAATCTGGTTCTGGCCCACCATTAAGAATTCAGTTTCTCTCTTAACGTCCTCAGCATAACCATATTATTATTGTTGCCTATTTCATAGACAGAAGAAGTCATTTTGTATATTTCATTTGTTCTTATAATTAAGGTTAACACAAACAGAAACATCGACAGAAGATAAAAATGCAAAAAAAAAAAAATTTAAAAAACAAAACAAAATAAAGAAAAACAGACTTCTCTATCGCTCATTTAAAAGTTGATCTAATAAATGTTTCAGAAGCATTCTAGCTCAATAAATTTACTAGTTTAAACTAAAAGTAGTGAAAACTGAAAACACTTATTTTCCTTAGAATTATAATACTCATCAATCAATATTTTCCCTAGAATAGTACTGACGAATGACATTATTGTTAAAATAAAAGCCGGAAGGCTTATTGCGCAATTTTTTGAATTAAACAACAAAGAGTGTATTTCTCTGCCGTTCAGACAGAAAAGGAACAAGTGTTGTTTTTCCTGTGAAATAAAGTTTTCGGTCCTAGAATCTAGAAAATGAAAATTGATATTGTTTAATATTGAAGGAAAAAATCTTGGCGTTTCCAAGTCAACAATGTTTCATGAAAAGAAGTAGAAGTGGTATCAATCAGAAGTAGATAGATAGATAGATAGATAGATAGATAGAGAGAGAGAGAGAGGGAGAGAGAGAGAGAAAGAGAGAGAGAGAGACTCTGAATAAGAGTAAAATGGAATTTTGCCATTAAGTGGTGGTAGTTCTTTTGCTAATGCACCAGCAGACTACCAATGGGGTCGAAGAAATGGTAATAATACTGTCGGTGTTGTTTTCTTCGTGTAGATTTTTGTATGTGACGGATAGTCAACTGAGTCAGTATCAGGTGAATGGTGATTCAAATGAGAGAAATTTTCTTTCGTCTACTATGAATGGCCGGATTATGATAGAAAAGAAGATAGAAAGAAAGATGTGTAAAAAAAGTAAAAAAGAAAAGAAAAAAGGCAGAGTAAAAGAAAGAAGGCAGAGTAAAAGATAGAAAAAAAGGATAAAAATCACTGAGAAATAAAATTAAAAATAGGAAGAAATGGATAAGGAAATTTTTTTTTTAAAATTCGGAAACGATTAAAAAAATAAATAAATAAAGAAAGAAAGAAAGAAAGAAAGAAAGAAATGCATAGGAGAAAAAAGAAAGAAAAAGGTTGGCAGTGATAATGAAAGAAAATGATGAAAGGAGAAAGAAATTAAGAAAGGATGGACGAAAGGAAAGTAAAAAAAAGAACAAAAAAGGAAAAAAAACGGAGTAAAAGTGTAAGAGGATAAAGAAAGAAGAATAAAAGATAAAGAAAAGTGAGAAATAAATCAGCAGAATCGTTTCCGTATTCCTCTGTGCGTGTGTACGTACACTGTTGTATCACTGTACAAATATGTTGTACTAACAACATTATAAAATAAATACTTAAATGTATGACTGACTGATTCACTAACATGACAGCATAACTTGAATAAAGCAAAACATGGGGGGGGGATCTGCCGGAATGTATTCATAATTAAGAATACACGAAGGAATAAAATTACACTACCTGTTGAAAGAGATAGATATACGAATAAATAAGGATAGATAGATAGACAGAGAGGGGGGTGAGATAGATAGATAGATAGATAGATAGATAGATAGATAGATAGATAGATAGATAGATAGATAGATAGATAGATAGATAGATTCCGATTATTAATCAATGCACAAACTAAGATAGAGAAAGAGAAAAAAGAATGAGAGAGAGAGAGAGAGAGAGAGAGACAGACAGACAGACAGACAGACAGAGTTTATTTTAGTAATTAGTTTGGGTGTCTGGGAAGCATAAAGAGAGAGAGAGAGAGACGGTAGAGTTGGATAGACGGTTAGAAGGAAAGTGAAAAAGATGCCACTGCTCCATGAGAAGCATCTCGAAGAACATTCATTCAGAAATATTTCTCTTCCTCTATCAACCGATCCTGTCCTAACTTTCAGAAATACCAGACTCTGCTGTTAATATCAGTTTTTATCTCCTCGTGAAACATCAATATTTTATGTTTGTCTGGCTGACGAATATCAGTTGGTCAGTCAGTCAAAAAAGACTAAGGTGACCCAAACATTGACTAGAATAAAGTGACAGTGTTCGGGGTCAAGGTGTCCAGCCTCTGTCTTAGCAACGCGACAGTCATCATCAAGTGACAAGTTAGTCGTTGGCGATGCAACACTTAGTGTACCAAGAGAGAAAGTGACATCAAGACAAAACTGTGGTGAAAAGTTTTAAAAATGATCAGTTTCACTTTCATCGTTGCAAACTAATAAAGCGTCTTGTGAAATGATCCTATGATATCACTCTGGAGTCTATTTCCTTTAACTGAATTGTGTGTGTGTGTGTGTGTGTGTGTGTGTGTGTGTGTGTGTGTGTGTGTGAGAGAGAGAGAGAGAGAGAGAGAGAGAGATGAAATTGCGCAATTTCTTATGGTGTCACAGCACAGCGTCAGTAGTCAGTGTTCGATTCAAAGTAAAAACCAAGATTTCGAATGCTGATTTTTAAAGCAAGCAGATTCTCTACACTCGGAAACTGACGTAATACCCGCCCCATTTGACTTTGTGTTGATGTAAGCTAAATGCGCATATATACAAAAATACATACGCATACAAGTACACACACAATTGTTTAAAGAATGCGCATGTCGCACTTCACTCAAATTTTCACAAGCGCAGGTCTGGGTGCTATTCCACATCTCCTATAACCGATGCGGAAAGATCTGACAGATTAATGATTAATGTGTTAAATCTTCGTTCATGAAGTAAAGTTATGATAATATAAGTAGATATATACTACCAACAAATTAAGATAGATGTTGATAGATTAACTTATTAATTGCGACAGAAATTTGCGTCATTCACAATTGAATCATGGAACTCCAACCAAAAATTCCATCATCTGCAGTTAATAGGAAATAGATACCAACGGGCTAGGCTTAATGGAGCCTTTATCTTGGTTCTGTTGAAGAACAAAAAGTATATTTGTTTTACTTATTGTGACTCAAATATGTTAACCATTTTTGAGATCAATTGAGAAAAACTAAAATTCCATTAAGCATTGAGAAAAGAGAAAGAAAAAAGTAACAAACCCACTTTAAACCAAAAAATGGAATGAAGAAAATTGTTTAAAGTTCTGATATTGTATTTCAATATTTAAGCTTAATAAGGCGAAGCGCCTTGTGAGAATCGGTCTCACTACAGCGCCACTGTAGTAAGCTTAGTTTGCTAGATCAGCTAGTTGACCATTTATTCCAAAGCAAAGCGCTCTAGTCTGGTTCTCTATTGAATGTGTAATTTCTTTAACGTTCAGAAAAGACTTGTACTCTCAAAACTTCTCTAAGTCACTCACACCGGTCAATGGGATAAGAAAAGAAAACAGAGGATATCTAAATAGTTAGCAATCTAGTCTCGTAGACCATTTCGCTAGTAGTGAGTTCGATTTCATTGGGCGCTCTATTACTTTTACCTTGTGCTAGACTAAGATAATCGGAAGTGAATTGTTCGATGAGATTGTTACATCACCAGCACCAGCCGTCGATATTCGTGCCCAGATTTAAAAAAAAAAAAATTAATAGGATCCCGAATGTAGTTTTTTTCAATACTGGTAGATAGACCCTCCCCTGTTAGAAGAATGACATATAGCATAATATCCCTCCCCCTGTTTCACCCTATTGTACTAAGTTAAAGTTCGCTTCATTACTAAGATATTGATAAAGTAAAAAAAAAGTTTCAAGAGTCAATAAGAATGATAATTCTTCGTACATAATTGCGCAACTTTCCATAATTCTTAAATTACATTTAACTAAATTTTGAGAGAAAAAAAATAAACACTTTATTTAAAAAAAATAATGTTGGCTTTTCTAAAGACTCGATGGCACATTGAAATTTAATAACAGGCGTTTAACATGAGTAACATCAACAGTAACATATAAAAAAGTAACTTCTGTTAAAATTTCTGTATGGGTAAACTTGGTCTAATTGTTTTCCTAAAAATGTCTGACGATCGATTATAGTGTCAGTTCTCAAAAAAAAAAAAAAAAAACATCAAAAAACTACTTCAAATCTCTGAGTTAAGAAATCACTAACAAGCAAGCAAGGTGCAAGCCAATCAGGTTGCGTCAATTGCTTTTGACCTTGGATTGTTACATTCACTTTCACTCAATTTAGTGACTGAAAAGAAAATACGCGCACTCATAGTGTCCACTCTAGAAAGTTTCTGATTTTTGTAAAAATTAGTAACCAGTCGATATTGATTATTTGGTATAATTATAAAATTATTGCCCTTTTTACTTTCTGATAGTACTAATAAAAATATTTAAGTTATTAATTTGGTTTTCTACCTACTAAATGGTTAAAAAATAACAAAATCAAGGGAAACATTCCAGACAGTAAGAAAAAGAGAGAAAATTATCGACATAGGAAAATAAATTCCCTTCCATAGATAGATAGATAGAGAGAGAGGGGGGGGGAGGATAAATCATGAATATTCATTCATTTTTTCATGTTTCCAATAATTTTAAAGCAAATTAATATTATTTCTTCTGAATACTTTTTTCTCCTTTATTTTTCTAATGGTAGATTTATCACAAACAGACACACCTTACACATTTTTAGTTTCTAAGAACTTTTAAAAGATTTCAGCTTCCTTAAACCCCTAAAAAGTAACTAGTTTTAACTTAACTAACTAATGCGCTCTTTCAAATATCCCACAAATTTCCTCATGGCTGTAAAAATAAAATAAAAAATAATGATAATAATTTATAAAATAAAGATTTGTACGTTTACGACATTCATTAATTGACCTCTTTTTAACAGAAAATATGAGTCGTATTTCCTTTTCTTAAATTGCCATATAAAAATAACACAGCACAAAGAATATTTTTAGAATCATTCTAAGGATGAAAACGATGATGTAACAACTATTTTAAAATTTCTCTTTTCGCTTATTAAAAAACTGCCAATTTAAAAAAAAAAAAACTATATAATTTGCATATTTATTTTTAAATAAATTGCATTGTCGCCATCAGTGAAATAATATTTATCATTGCTTTGTACTGTTTCTTATGCGTAAAAATGTTTGCCTGCTTGTTTGGATGTTTGATGTAGTAAAGGTTTCACGTCACCTGTCGATGTTCAAGCCCAGGTGAATGTTAGAATTTCAAAAGCTGATTTTCCGAACGAAAATATCTTCTCCAAATGGACGATTGTCACGGCTCAAAAAATCTTTCAGTTTCAATTTTCACTCTATTTGGCTTGATATCAAACTAGGTAAATTATTGCATTTTTTTACAAGTTAACAAAATGTATTGAAAATGAATTAAAAATGGGCCGACCCAAAACTAAGCCATTATTTTCCCAATATATGAAATTGAAATGATTAGGAAAGTCAACTTCAGTTGCATGTAGCAAGTCATCAGCATTAAAAAAAAAAAAAAATCACTCTCTTTTCTCCCTCCCAACTCTCTCTCTCTATCTCTCTCTCTCATTGCGATATTACTGGTATTTCTGAATGAACTCTTTATTTCGCTGAACCAAATTAAAATATGTATATTCCCTTTTAGTTTTTTTTTCTTATCCAATTTGATACCATCACATTGAGGGTTGAGGATAATTTTTACTTTTGTAAATAATTTTCTACACTAGTTAATATTTATTTTAATAAAAGCTTTTTAGCTTTTTTGTTTCACGTAGAATTTCTTTCATATATTTCTTTCATTTTTTTTTTTTTTTTTGGCTACAGAAGATTCTGGATTTCCTAAATTAGAAACAAATTTCATGAATTCTTTTTAAACGAAAATATTTCTTCATAAAAAAAAAATCTACAGCGCTCGCTCTGAGACAAGAAAATGTATCATTTCTTTATTTCATCTGTCTGTTCCTAATCACGTCTATCCATATTTTTAGTTAGCTAACTAGCTACACTCTCGATTACAACATTCCTCTCCTTCAGGCGGCTTTATTTCTGACTAAAAATAATAATAAAAAAAAAAACGTAAATTAAATAAATAAAAATTAAATTATCCCCATTGAGTGTACTCACTACTTATCTATGTACTTCTTCTCCCTTAATTTTTCCATTTATTGTGCCGACACCCAATTGCAAGTTGTGTGCATTATGTCAAGTGCGCAATATACTGCATCACACGAAACCCTATGTACGTGTGTGAGTGTGTGTGTTAAGCTTAGCGTAGTGTGGTACAATGTCATAAAGTGTAATGCACCCAGTGAGGATCAATATCACTAATTAATTGTTTTTTTACACAAGAAGGCTAACTTGTTAGCCATTGATCCACAGTAAGGCGCTCTGGAATGAATGAATGAATGAATGAATGAATGAGTAATAATAATAATGAGGATCGAACCATCTCCTCTGGTGAATTGGTCTGCGAGACGAGCATCGCGCTAGGGTAGGTGTCCAATAATAATATTGTGTGCAGAAAGAAGGTGATACAATTAGGGTAGAACAGAATTTAAGAATAACTGTAAAATAAACTGCAAACATTTTTAATTTTTTAATGTCTGTGAATTATGATCGTGTGTGTGTGTGTGTGTGTGTGTGTGTTTGTGTGTGTGTGCGTGAAAGAGAGTGAGAGAGAGTATTATTAAACAACTAGCGTACAAAATTACCATAGTCACACACACACACACACACACACACATCCATTACAATGTTTTAAATGAACAAATAAAAAAAAATAATTGTCATTTTTTTTATTTTTACCTTTGACCCGATTTGGTTGCCGCATTGTCCGGCTTGTATATGAACAATTTCTCTCATCGTAACAAGTCCTTAAAAAACGTCAACTGTAGTGTACAAGGTTGTTCAATGGACTTTTCTTTGTTCTTTTTTTAGGGATCGATGTGGAAATATCTGAAAGTGCCCTCTTTCAAATCCCTTTTTTAAAATCTTCCTTTAACAAATGGTTGGTTGATAACAGCAATTACTCCTGTTGGACGCTTAATACTTGTGGCGAACTGGAAGAAAAAGCCGGCAATGTTGGAAACAACGTGCTCGTTCGCTCTCTAACCAATAAACACTTTAACTTAAGTGAACAAGGACGAAGATTTTGTTTGGTTGGTTACAGGTGCATGTTGAATTCGTTGTCTTATGAATTTTCTCGGCTTTTTTTTTTTTTAATTTGAAAGTCCGTTATCCCTTTTTAAGAAAATTCTATGCGGTACTTGGCAGAGGTAACTTGTGATTCTTCGACGAGCTTTGCAATCGAATGTTAACAGCACAGCCGGCCTCTCGCTTTTATACTGTCTCGCCGCTTGAATGAAAACCTTGCCAAAAATCGATTATTTCGATAATTCGCATCGTGTAGAAATTTCCGCACAGAAGTGCCGAAAATCGGACATCATCAGATGTCAGTCGAGTGTTCATTTTTTTTTTTTAATTTTAGATCAAATTTTGGATGATAATCTTCAACTTCATTAGTTTTATGCTAAATTTAGCTTGTCACTTTTTAAATTCTTGCCGAAGCGGATGTATTTTAGAATTAGTTTACAATACATAATCAGAATTTTTTTAAAAGATAATTACGCATTGCAATTCGTTTACCATTTCTTCCCAAAAAATAATTTAACTATTCAATGAAGATAAGAAAAAGCAAATTAATCACCGCAATCATTTTGCTACACATTATCAAGTCAAACATTGCATTAAAAATAGAATAAATTTATTTATTCGTCAGTGAAACTGTCGGGAGGATGGGGCATGTTTTTATGAAAAGAAAAAAAGAATAGGTGTGTGGGGGAGAAAATAAGAAAGAGAGATTTAATTTTTATTTTTGTTAACAATGGTCGCAACAAGTGAATTGTAATTGTAAACTGAAAAAAAAAACTAATCTTACTCAACTGTAAATTTTCTATTCAATGATTCATCTAACTAACAAAACGTTTACCCTCAATTTCACCATTCAAGGCGCTTTTTTTGTAAGCTATGTAATGAGTTAAGTCTGTTTACACTACATCGTAGAAAGAAGTGACACTTTTTTACTCAGTTTCTACACTTAAAGTTGCTTAACTTCGATAAAAAAAAATGACTCATCTCATTGTGCTGTTGAAATGGTGCATCGCTGCATCGTTATGAAATCCATATTGCATAATTGACCCACTGGCGTCAGAATTGCTTGTAACATTTCACATTTGTTAACAAATAACATTTATTTATTTTAAAATTATTATTTTATATTCAGTTCTCTGGGTTTCTTCATCTTTTTCTTTCGTCTCTAAAGAATTCATTATTTTTCTTCGTTTTTTACGATAATTGAAATTCCTGAATTCTTCCTATATTTTGTATTGCATAAAAACAAATAAGTTTACTCTTTTTTTTTTCAGCTCTTTTTCTTTCTTTTTTACACACACACACACACACACACACACACACACACACACACACACACACACACACGTTATAATAATCAATTACAGATCAACTGAATGCCTTGTCAGGTGCCAGGTTTGTGAGATTCGTTGAAAATGTTTTAAAAATGTTCTGCTCTCTTTTGGCTAGCCAAGGAGCACAAGGACTTATAAAATCCACAATATCCTGATTAACTGAATAGACCAGTGGAGTGAGAGAGAAAAGATTGTAGTAGCTAAGGTGGCTGTTGTTGCTTTAACCCTGCTACCAGCATAGTGATTATCATTATCACCTATTAATTATCAGGGTAGGAGAACAGAAAATCTGATTTCAGATTCTCCAAAGTTATACTTGTAAACTCTGGCGTTACAAAAAAATGCATGTACACACACACACATATATATATATAAATAAATATATACTAATGTTAGTATTAGATGAAATGATTTCATATTTTGTATCCCAACCATAACCTTTCATTTTGATATTATTGGTAAATGGTAAAGTCATGACCACCAAACTTTCATACACTTTGTCCTATGATAGACAGTTCTCCGGAAATGTGAAAATGAGTGTCCATTACATAATTTCTATGTACAAACACATATCCAGATTAAGTGGATCAACAAGCACCTGAAGAATGCTAGAGAGCAAAATGCCTAAAACATTATAATGATAGCAGCAAAGATGAGGACATTAATCTGAATGTAAATAATAATAACAACTCATCCCAGAAATTCAGACTGAATCTCTCAAGTCTCTTTTAAAAATTTTTTTTTAATTACTAAATATCTCATATACAAAACTGAGATATCTTGTAGTCTCATGTTTACCCAGACAATATAGACTATCTATATTGTATCTAAGCTAACTCTATAATACTGTAATATTAAATATAAGTGTGTGTGTGTGTGTGTGTGTGTGTGTGTGTGTGTGTGTGTGTGTGTGTGTGTGTTCTAAGGTAAAATGACATGAAAATAGCTTTACAAATCTTCATTTATTTATTAGAAGATTTCAATCACTGTACTTTTTGGCTTTCCTGGAGTATCTTCCAGGAATGTCAAATTAAACTCTTTATTTGATCCACTAACACAGGGGTTCACAAACAGTGCAGCA